TGTGCTGGGGTCTCTAGGCTTGCTGACCTGGACAAAACTTCCCTCATGGACATGAGTCACTTTTCCTCGTGTGGCTTTCATCAAACCTCCCACAGCCCTTCAAATATTCTGTTTTTTCCAAGGGAGCGTTTTCCACAGCGAGGCTGGAGCACTGAACCAGCCCTTCCCAGGAACCAGAGGGGTTCAGGCACTGTCACAGCTGGCAGCTCCCTCATCCCAGTGGATTCTCAGGAACACTGAACCAAAATACCAAATTCAGGGTGTCACTGAATGGCTTCTGGCACTAATCAAAATGAATGTTTTAGGAGTTTCCTAGAAGTAAACCCAAAAGTTTGCACACATAAGTGGGGTTTGAGGCTTTTAGACAAGGTTTTTCCAGCCTCAAATCCCCCTCTCCACTACCAGCAACACCAGCACTCCCATTAGAGGGGCTGCTTAAAACTCCAGGAACGTCTTGTGCAGCCTAAAAGCTTTTTAAATGAGGCTCACAGCCATGAACAAGGTAAACACATTTGTAGATTTGTTTGGGCAATTACAGTCATTTAAAAAACAATGCATAATAACAGACATGAATCTAATAAGCCATTGCTAATTAAATGTATAAATGCCACGTTATAAAAGGAACACATCTTGCTGATATGTTACAGCTACTTTGATGCTGTAAACACTGGAGCAGTGACATGGGCAGAATTTGCATCCCTGGGCATTGCCAGTGCCCAGGAATAGCTGCAATTAATTTGCCCCAGTGGAGCCAATCTCCTGCCCAGCCACCAGGCTCCTCTTTATGTGCCTGCTCCTCGTTTTCCTTTGCTCTGTGAGCATCAGTTGCACTGAAATGGAGCTGGTTAACCCCAAAATATGGGACATCACTACAAAGCATTTGTGAAGATTCTACTCTGAACTGTGATCTTCTGCCAATTATAATTTAACATTCTCAGGCTGTGGAAAAACCATTTTTCTGTCCTGGGAGAGTTCAGTCAATTTTACCTGACATTAAGTCTTCAATAGCACAATTTTCTTTCTCTTGCTTTCATCTCTTTGGAAAATGTCACCAAACTGGAGTTAACCAATTGACCACAGACCTTTTGAGGAGTCAGGCCCAAAGCAGCCCCAGGGATGCAGAGAAAGAGCCAGGCTGGGATGCCCTGGGCATCCAGAAACACCAACCTGATTGTTTAAAAATTTGTTTGCCCAGCTGGGCCAGTGCTGGGGGTGCTGAGGGAAGGGTTGGGGTTCAGCAGGCCTGGGGAGCTCAGTGGTGAAGCTGAGTGAAGAAGAGAGGTTAGGATGGAGGGAGGTGTAGGGCAGAGCACCTTCAGGGATGGGTCTGGACAATGGCCTTGTGAGAATTGTCCCAGTGATGGCAAAGTCCCTTCCCAGGGTCTCCAGCTCTATGTAAAAGTGAGCAGCCACAGGTTCCCTGTTGTCAAACTGCCTGAAAATTACAGAATCCCAGGATGGTTTGGGTTAGAAGGGACCTTTAAGCCCATTCCACCCCTGCCATGGCAGGGACACCTCCCACTGTCCCAGGCTGCTCCCAGCCCCAGTGTCCAACCTGGCCTTGGGCACTGCCAGGGATCCAGGGGCAGCCACAGCTGCTCTGGGCACCCTGTGCCAGGGCCTGCCCACCCTCCCAGGGAACAATTCCTGCCCAATATCCCATCCAGCCCTGCCCTGTGTCAGTCTGAAGCCATTCCCTGTGTCCTGTCCCTCCATCCCTTGGCAATTGTCTCTCTCCATCTTTCCTGCAGCTCCTTCAGGTCCTGGAAGGCCACAACGAGATCATCCCTGGTCTCCTGTCCAGGTGAACAATCCCAGCTGTGCCAGCCTTTCCTCCCAGCAGAGCTGCTCCATCCTCTGCTCATCCTGGAGCCTCCTCTGCATCTCTCCAGCAGCTCCAGGTCCCTGCTGTGCTGGGATCCTCCACCCCAGCCCAGGAAAGCAGAGGAAGGTGAACATGGCAGTGATGAGTGGGCAGCTGTCTCCAAGAGCTCATGGACAGAAAATGTTGACCTTTGACTAATGAAAAGCCTGTCCAGCTGGATTTAATTGCCTGGTTTGGGCAGATATGACTGGAAAATCTCATGCCTGTCAAATATTTTTCCACCCCCTAAAGCATCAAATTATTCACTGTCCTCTTGTAGCATTTTGCAGCCAACTCTTTCCTGTGATGATTTTCAAAGGATGAAGAATGAGCACCCTGGTGACATTTCTAGTATCTATAAATATCTCCCCAGTACCCTGCCTGCCCAACTGGTGAATTATGCAGGGAGATATATATAATAAAACAATCGGATCCATTTTGTTGTCAACAGACCATTCTTCTTCAGCTGACAGGAGAACAGCTCAGGCTGTGGCTCTGCAAAGAGCAGACAGTGCCTGGGGACTTCCTGAGCTTCTCCTTTCCTGGCTGTACAGGGGCATCTTGGAGGGCAACACTGAGAGGGGAGAGGCTCTGGTGTGCTGGGAAAAGGAGGAAAGGTTTTAAAAGAGAAGAATGGAGGACAGAAAAGTCTCCAGAACGGCAGGAAATCCTACATCCAGAGCACTGAGAATCACATGGAATCACAAACAGCACCACTGAGGCTGGAAAATATCTCACAGACCATCGAGTCCAAGCTGCTCCCCATCCCCACCTTGTCCCCAGAGCTCTGAGTGCCACATCCAGGAATTCCCTGGGCACCTCCAGGGATGGGCACTCCAAACCTCCCTGGGCATTTCCAATCCCTGACCTCCCTTTCCATGGGGAAATTCCTGCTGCTGTCCCCCCTGAGCCTGCCCTGGCCCAGCCTGAGGCCGTTCCCTCTCCTCCTGTCCCTGTTCCCTGGAGCACAGCCCGACCCCCCCGGCTGTCCCCTCCTGTCAGGGACTTGTGCAGAGCCACAAGGTCCCCTCTGGTAAAAGAAGCCTTGCTGATATCCAGTGAAGGACTAATCCAGCATGATGGATTATCTGGAACACAGGAACTTACTTCTGGTCCTTCTCTTTTGTGTTTAATTTACCAGTGCTCTGTTTATGCATCTAAACCTCCTTCATGCTGAAATACACAGAGAATTTAATGTGCCCAACTTTGCAAAGCTGTGGGAAGTGACCAGTTTACATTTCATATCTAATTGGTAGGTTTTAATTTAAATTGGGAGGGATTTAATTTAATAGCAAAGCTTTCCCCAGCTAACAGACCTCTTCTAGCAAGTGCTCATTATGTGGGATACTCTACAGTCTCTGTTACCTCATTTATGGGTTAGAGGCAATTTAAAAAAGCCATCTTAAGAAAGCTCTCTCCCTTCCATTAGATATTTGCAGATGTCTTTTGCTAAGCCATAACTAGCTCCTTCATCATTAATATTTTGGGGCTGTGCCTTGGAGACAGTGCCTAGCAATTAAACAAAGTTCTTACCAGAGAGTTTTCCCTCCTTACCTTCATCCAGAATTTTGTTGTTCTCCAGGAATGCAAGGACAAGGACTGTGGATGTTCTCATCCCTGCAGGAAGAGATCTGCTGTGCTGCTCAGGCAGGAGAGTTCCTGAGGATCTCCTGAACACTTCACCCTCCTGGGTGACTTTCAGTGGCAGCAAAGTTGATCCCCTGGACTGGCAGGGAGTTCACCATGTACCAAAGGCACCCATAAAACCACTCAGTCTGACATGAGGCTCTGAGAAACCAAACACAGCCCACAGAAATGCTCTCCTGCTTTAATCCCAGAGCAGCCAAGCCCCCACACCCTCAGCTCCCTCCCTCCCAGAGGGTAAAATGTGAAAACTCCTGCATTGAGGTAAAGGCAGCTTGATAGGCAAAGCCATGGGTGAATGGTGCTTCCAGATGCTGCAAGGCATGAGCAGGACAGAGCTCATGGGACAGGGGCACTGGCACTGCTGCTTCCTGGATTTCTGTCTGCCAGATGTCAGTCCCAATGCCACCATGGGAACAGTTGGGGCAGCACTGGCTGGTGATTTGGTGATTCTCTCATGCTGAACCCCTGAGCCCATTCAGGGCCAGAGCTCTCCAGATGAGTGGGTTTGTAGTGTCCCCAAAGGAGGGACCCAAATCTGCCCATGGGATTGTACCCTGGCACTGGGTCAGGGTGGGAGGGTTTGGGGGTGCTCATTGGTGCTGATATCACTGAGCCAAGCCCTCTGCACCCCTGGTCCTGCCAGGCTCCCTGGCACCTGCCACCAGCTCACAGGTGACAAGCCAGGGCTGTAGTGGGTGAGGAGAGGAACAGCAAATGTCACACAGAGGCAGGGCCTGTGTGAGCCTCCAAGCACGGGGAGCTTTCCCAGAAAAAGCCCCATTTCCCCAGGAGCCAGCCCAGCTCCATGGCTCTGTGTGACTGTCACTGACACGATGGCCACCCTGCCACCCCTCTGTGCTCCCTGCACCAGGAACTTCCCTTCTCACTGCCCTCCCACCCCAGCCAGAATTAACCTCCCAGGGACCCTCCCAGGTGTGTTCCTCCCACCTGACCCCTGTGTTCTCCTCACCAGGAGTAAACGTGCAGCTTCCAGACACTATTCCAGGAACAATTACTTTTATTAGTAAGTATCTATCATCACGACATATTCCTCTGAAATAATCCCTGTGCTGTACTTTCACTCTTGATTCCATTAAGCACATTGGATATTAACACCATTTTCAATGTTTCTAAGATTTACAGGAGTGTTAGCAAGACACAGCTTATAACCACAGCATCTGCTCACCTCCCAGCTTCCAACATGACACACATGACAAAGAAACACTCAGGGAGAGAAAATAATAAATTCTGGAAGCTGATGGAAAAGGCTACTGATTTTAAAACTACTTTGGATCATGAGGAGAAATAAAAATTAGATTTAAGTTTAGCACTCTCTGGGTGTGGTATATCAGGCTCTGGGCTGGGATCTTCCAGTGCAGCAATGCAGGAATTACAGGATATTGATTTAGAGCAGCCACGAAGCTGGGCCGTGTCACTCTGTCACCTCTGTCACCTCCTCGTGGGCCCTGTTTGGGTCACATCCCCAGGACACAGAGACAGTCCTGCCTACATAACCTGGGAGTCCATCAGGGAGATGGAACTTGGGCTAATCTCAGCATTTAATTGTGTGACAAAGGCACTGTGAGGGATTTGCAGAGCAGGGGCCGTGCTGGTGCCTTAGATCTGCAGCAGCAAGGCCACACCAGCCAGCACCCACTTGGAAGGGTTCTCCTTTGTTTTGAGGTTCAAAGTCCACACATAGGTTGGGCCTCTGTGGCGTGTTTTGTACAGAGGACAGGGGTACAGAGCCCTGCTGTCCTGCTTGTCCCCAGGGATGGCCTTGATGAACACGACAGGCATGGCTGGGGTGAGCTCCTGCAGCCTGGCGTCCGTGATGGTCCCGGCCTGCAGGGAGGACACAAAGCCTGGTCAGACCCCCAAGGTGCCCACGCTGCTCCCTGAGGTGCCTGAGCCCCTTTAGCCAAGCTGCTCCTGCTGGGGAGGTGCAAACAGCTCCTCCAGGGTCACGGGGCTGCACGAGTCTCTTTGAGGAAAGAGAGTCTGGGTCCAACAGCTCTTTGCCTCACCACAAACCTCCTCAACACACATCATCTCCAGGGTCCAGTGCCTGCACTCTCACCAAACCCTCACATCCGAGCTGGACTTGGTGTGGGAACAGTGTCCCAGCCATATTATGAACAAAGTTTCACTTCTCTTGTCCTGGTTTCCACTGAGATGCAGCTTGAGGCCATTTCCTCTTGTTCTCTTGCCAGGGAACAGGGACAGGACAAGAGGAAAAGGCCTCGAGCTGTGCCAGGGAAGGCTCAGGCTGGACATCAGCAGGAATTTCGTAGCTGAAAAGGTGATTAAACATTGGCAGGGGCTGCCCAGGGAGGTTTGGAGTGCCCATCCCTAGAGGTGCCCAAGGAGCTCCTGGATGTGGCACTGAGTGCTCTGGGCTGGGGACAAGGTGGGGATTGGGCACAGCTTGGCCTGGATGGGCTGGGGGATCTTTTCCAACCTCAGTGATCCTGGATGATTCTCAGGCATCTCTGCCAGAGCAGAAGCACCTCGTGGGAGGAGAGAAGGTGGACACCTGAACCTCTGGGATGGAGAACAGCCCCCAAAGGCACCACAGGCTTGTTCCCACTCTCATGGATGCAACCAAGAGAATTCAAAATGACTTTTCTGCGGGAGTATAAATATCAAGTGTTAAATATAAAGTCCCATTATTCTCCTCCAAGCAATGCTTGGCCCAGCAGGCTGCCCAACCCAGGAGAGGGAGAGAACCCTGACAGGACAAGAAATCAAGTTTGTTTCTCAAATTTGGGTCTCTCTGGCATTTTCTCTCTCTCTTCCTGACAATAAAATACCCTGCACATCAATCCATTTCCAGGGAAAATTGCCTAATGGAGGCTAGGGAGACCAAATGAGAACAAATAGGGAAATGGAAAGGAAACTTTTCAGCACTAAAGAAACTGCCTCTCACTGAAGCTGAGCTTCACATATCATCATTATTCCAAATGCTCTCGGATCAGAGTTGTGGGGTGAGATTCAACCTCTCCAGGAACTTATTTAGCTCTGCAAACGAGCGAAGAAAAATCATCCCTCTTGCCACACACCTCAGTTTAATTGTACTAATGCCATCTGTTATGTTCAGCTATGATAAATCCAACTCTCATTTAGGATTTTATATTTCTAGCGTGTTGAACAAACATTAAATAATTCGTATAATACCTTGCAAAGTAGCTATTTATGAAACATTATTATGCACTCTTCTTAAATCCACACCTTTCATTTCTGAGACTGGGTTTTGATCAGGTCTTTTTCTTTTTTTTTTTTTTTTACTGCTGAGAATACTTCAAATGAAATTTCCAAGAGATATTCTACCTGTTTCTGGGTTAACAAGAGCTGAAATCTTCTTGAGGTACCTCTATGTAAGATATCATTTTGTTATGTCTGGGCTGATTCTCATTTGCATTTTTTATCGCTCTCATCATCAGAAATTAATTCTGCTCTGAAAGCAATTCTTCCTGACTAGCAGCACAGCCCTCGTGGTACAGAAGCACCATTGTGTGCCTGGAGAGCTCAGCCTCAGCTCCTAAAGGATCCTTCACTTGTGCTTGTCCTGGGTTCCCAGTGGAGAGTGGCCATGTGGCAGTGCCACGTGGCACCGGGGCTGCGGGCACAAGGAGCTGTCACAAACCAGGGGTGGGGACACATGGGCCCAAAGCAGAGCCTGGGACCCACAGCCCTGCACGTGGAGCTGCTCCCAGCACGGGTTGCTCACACCACAGCCCCTCTGGGGTCACCAAAGCACGGCCTGGCTGCCTTTGGGATGGAGTCACCCAAAGGCAGGGCAGGGGGACACGGGGCCAGCAGGGAGCACCCCAAGGTGGTCACTGAGTGATGGGGGCAGTGGCTTCAGCTGGACAAGGGGAATGAAAAAACTCTTCCCTGTGTGGCTGCTCCATCCCTGGAGGTGTCCAAGGCCAGGATGGAGCAGCCTGGGACAGTGGGAGGTGTCCCTGCCATGGTGGGTGGAATGAGTTGATCTTTAAGGTCCTTTCCAGCCCAGCCCAGTCTGGGATCCTGTGGTTCCATGGCAGGGGCTGTGCTGCCCACATGGAGCACACGTGGTGTAAAACCCACCCCTACCCTTCTCCCATCACACTCCAACCCCCTTGGGGAGGGGCAGGACACACTCTTGGCATCAAACTCTCCATTGCAGAGAGCAAGAAAGCCAAGATTCAGCCAGCAGCTCGAGATAAAATGGCTCCAAGTGTCCCCAGTCACAGCATCCTTCTGGCTCTCACTGAGTCCCAGTGACTTTAACAGGGCTGCAGCAAGAGATCACTTGCACCCAAAATAATCTGCTTAGTTTCATTTCATCTAATAGCTGCCTGCTGTTTTGTAATGAATGTTTTATAAATTTAAGACACCCAAGGGCAAACATAAATGTTTAAATAAATAGAAAAATGTGAGTAGCAGAACACAGAAGGACTCTTTCCTTTTTTGGAGGCACAACCTAAATGTGAAATATTCTTTTAAAAGTGGAGGTGTTCCCCAGAGGAATTCTTCTAAATGTGGCCTGCCATTTTTATCAGAGGATTAATTTGGAAGAAGTACACAACCCAAAAGAGCTATGCACCTGTTTTAAAAGTCCTGCATCCATTAATGCACACTAGTACCCACTGGATTATAGGTAAAATGAATAGTTCCACTTGGTAGAAATGATATTTCAGTGTGAGCAGCAACCCATAAAAATATTCTTTTCCTTTCTGAAATAAATTGAAGCACGATACCCAGAGATTATGAATGGCTCCATAAACATAATTGCTCAGTATCTTTCAATCAGAAGGAAAATGTAATCAGGAAAACACATTTACTGGAGTTGGGATGGTCTCTGAAGACAAATCCCATTGCTGGATGCAACCACCCATACCAGTTATTGGAGGGAGGCAGAGGGTGATGCCTTAAGTTTGAGCTTTCCTGTTTCCAGACTCTGCACTGCATTGGTGTGTGACTCTGAACTCCATCCAAAGTGTTCCAAGTTCTCCTCCCAGCTCAGGCACACAAAACAATCCTTTGCCAGCCCCACAACCAAGGACAGCGCTGCAGCTTCAGCCCCAAAAAGTGCAAAGAGCAGCGACTGGAGGAGAGAATGTGGGAGGATGGCACTGCAGAAGCTGGAGCTGCAATTGGACAATGAAGGCCAAGATGGAAATGGAGCCAAAGTGATCCAAGTGTGAGAACTCGTGACTCGGATCCATCTTGGCTCCATCTTGGCTGGAGCCACGGCCGGGCTCTTGCAGTGCCCAAGGTGAATCCTTGGAAGGGCTTGGAATAAATCCCTGCTTTATTCCTTCAGCACTGCCCAGCCTCTGCTCCAGGGAGCCTCTCCAGGCATCAAGGTCACAGCTTTCCCTAATTTCCTATCCTTCATGGGAAACCACTGCAGAGAGGGAGATGACAAAAGAGTGGAGAGTGTTGGATCAAAATGGTGAGGACACCCCTGTGGCTTCCCCCTCACCCCCAGAGCCTTGCAGAGCTCACCTGAACATCCCAGCGTGCTCCCTCCATGAACAGACCATGCACATAGGCCCCCTCACGAGGAGCACTGGCGAAATCCTCTCTGCTCTTCTTTGTCACATCACACTGCAATGTCATCTTGTCCAGGGGCCACTTGTTCTTGCGGGCTGCAGTCTGCATGACGGCCGTCAGGATGGACTGGGGGTTGAAGAACCCTCCCAGCCACAAGGTGGAGGGCAAGGAGAAGTCCCTGGTCCAGGCTTCGAGCTCGCTGATGCGAGCCAGGAGGTCAGCAAACCACGAGCCCAGGCTGGCTGTGGAAGGGTAAGATCTCTTCAGCCAGGACTCAGGCACTGTGTCCAAGAAAAGGGAGTTCTGCAAGGCCTCCATGTCGCTGGTCATGGTCAGCTCCCCCTGGGGAGAAAGGGCACAGTCAGCACTGAGAGCTGCCCAGCAGAGCCAGCCTGGGAGCAGAGCTGGGCCAGGACATGAGGAAGAGCACAACACCCCACACACCCCATGTACTGTGGGTGGCTTCATGAGTTTGGGGTTTTCCTGCACACTTTGTGTTGTATATTCCTGCATCCTGCTGTAAAATACTACTGGGGGGAAAAGCTGTATGACAGTGACAGCAGCAGGGGTGTCCCTCAGTTGTCCTGATGTTTTTTCTCTTTTCTCTCATGGACTGGTGTCCCTGGTGGTTGGGGCCTCCATGGTACCCCAAAACTGCCCAAGCTGTTCTCAGCTACAGGGCACGTTTCCAAGTCTTGCCCAGATAGAATCTGGCTTGCAAAGTGCCCCTGAAGCCAGCAGAGATAAGAGATTGGAATATGAAGATAGGAATTATTCCATAGCTTTATTCTATGAAGGGATCCAGTCTAGCATATTCACCGGGTGGGTTTTCTAAGGGATCTTTTATAGAGTTTAAGGGTTTTATATTTTGCACTAATTACCAAGGGAATTCTAAAACCAACCAATCTCCAAAAGGCTTTGGAGTGTTAGGGAGCCAACCACCTAAAAAGAAAATGAACCACTAATATTACAGAAAGATAACACAGGGGTCTACAAAGGGGGCAAAATACTTCTTGGTATTTGTCACTCTAAGCAAGCAATCTTTTATCTTTAAGGTATTGTCTTCCACGGGACTTGGAGAGGGTTTCTGCTTCAGAAATGGTTTCTGCTCCCTCCACAGACTGGCAGATTTTCAGGAGTGTAAAGCTGTTCTCACCCACTGCCATGGCAGGATACTGGAGTTTCTGATGATCCACTCTAAAACTGTCCAAATACTTGTTATGTCAAGTCCTATCCCCCTCCTCTCCTCCACTTCCCCTCACTCCTTCCCTCATTTACTGCTTTACAATGCAAGATTTTCTTTTTGACTCCATGTGTCGTCTGCAAATGTAATCACAGCTCCTTCCACAGCAGGGAAGGAGCACAACAAAGTAAGATATGATTCAGCCAAGTGAGATAAAGAGAAAGGTTTGACTTTTCCTTTGTGCAGCAATTAATTAGTTTTAAAGCTTTTAGAAACCTGTATCAGTTCTGCCAAAAGAGCTGAATTCCAGGACATTCCACTGAAATACAACGTGAGGGTGGCTGAACAATGGAACAGGTTGTCCACAGAGGCTGTGAAGTCTCCATTCTTGGAAATGTTTAAAATCCACCAGGACATGGTCCAGAACAACCTGCTCTGCCTGTCCCTGCTCAGGAGGGGCTTGGCCCTGACAACGTCCTGACCAACTCCTCTGTGATTCTGGCTCACTCAAGCCAAGCAGGATACAAAGAGAAAACCTGCAAATGCCAGCTCAGCTTCCCTGGTATGGAATGATCTCCACAATTCAAATCCCTGTGCTCAGATGGAGGGGTACAACACCCCCAGCACTGTGGAGACACACAGATAATGTCAATCACTGCTCTCCATTATAAACACTTCCTTTTGTTCCCTTATCATTTGGCCAAAATTTATCTGATTTACAATTTCTCTTTGCCTCTGGCTAAATGTTTTTGGAAAGATTAACTGAAATCGGTTGAGCCATTGCTGAGAACAAGGGGAGGGAATTGGGTCAGTCTATTCACATTAAAAGATTCCCACTGCTCTTTCACAGGACTTCAGTGCCTCCAGCGTGAGGTCAGCAGAGGTGCCCTTTGCTGGGGCCACAAAAATCTGTGAAGCTTTAGCAAAAGTTGAAATCTTCTTAAAGCAGCCCCCACAGTTGTTTAGCAATGCTTGCCAGAGCCCAGCAGGTAAAGGTCACTGTAGTTTTTTCCCGTGCTGACTGTGTCCTGTGGGTCACACTGACAACTGAAAAAAACCTTTAATATCACCAAGTCCAGCCATATAATTGTGACTCGGACAAGGTGTGGCAATTAGATTTAATGTGGGGAAGAATGTGCTGTTTAATACTGGTAGGGGAATGAGGGGATGCAGGGTGTGCAAATAAACCACAAACAAAATTAACCACAGGAATCTGGAACACAGATTCTGTAACACAGAAAATTCTGTAACACAGAAAATTCTGTAACACAGAAAACATCTCCCCAAACCCTGCCACAAATCACGGCAGGGAAGGAGATGGGATCTGCAGAAAAGGCTCCTCCAAGGGCTGCAGCAGCCTCAGACCCTGAGCTGGGATTCAGAGCCACCCTGGGCTGGGGCTGCAGGAGAGCAGCAGAGCAGCAGAGCAGCAGCAGCATTTGGCATTTCTTCAGCTGCTGTTTGCTGCACAGACACGTCTGAAGGGTCTGAGAGGTCAGCACTGGGCAAGTCAAAGAACCATGGAGCCTTTGAGGCTGGAGAAGACCTTTGAGGTCACCAAGTCCCAGCACCACCATGGTCACTGCTGGACCATGGCCTCAGGTGCCACATCCATGGTTTTTGGGCACTTCCAGGAATGGTGACTCCCTCCAAGCTTGCCCTTGGCAGCCTGTGCTGATGCTTAACAACCCTTTACATGAAGAAATTTCTTTTAATATCCAATCTAAACATGTCTTGGTGCAATTTCAGGCTGTCTCCTCTTGTCCTGTCACTTGTTACCTGGGAGAAGAGACACCGGGGGAAGATGAACCCACCTGGCTGCAAACTCCTTAGGGCAAACCAGGCTTGCTCCAAGGAAGTGCCCAGCGAAGAGACCAGAGCCTCCCTTGGCAGACATTTGTCACCAGGACAGGAATCCTCAGAGAGAACCAGGGATCCTTAGAGAGAACCAGGGATCCTTTGAGGTGACCAGGGATCCTTTGAGGTGACCTTGCTGTGGCAAACACAGCCCTGGGAGCTGCTGGATGGCAGCTCCAGCAAGGCTTGGACACACACCTGCCCCGTCCACTGTGTCCAGCCAGAGGCAGGAATGGTGTCAGCTGAATTCAGGCTCTGGAAAAGTCCACTTGAGCACTTCTGGGTTTTAGAACTTGACTTACAACCCTTTTCCTTTTCTTTTTCCTTTTCCTTTTCTTTTCCTTTTCCTTTTCCTTTTCCTTTTCCTTTTCCTTTTCCTTTTCCTTTTCCTTTTCCTTTTCCTTTTCCTTTTCTTTTATTTTTTTGGGGTTTGTTTTTTGTTTTTGTTAAAATTTCTAAATAGTCACACTAAAATTCTTGTTGTCTGGCAAAGGAGCAAGGGTAGGAATTCAAGGGAGGTCTCCAGCACCCCCCTAGTTCCAATGGGAGCTGAGAACTTTTTGTACTGCTCCATGCCTGGAAACCACTGCAGCCCTGGGATCTTCATTCAGAGTCTGTGGATTCCCATCCCAAAATCCCCTTCCTCCCAAGGTCTGTGGATTCCCATCCCAAAATCCCTTCCCTGGGAAATATTAATCCCTCCACAGGATGGATTGGTGCAAGGCAAGATAAAACCTCTGCTCCAGGCATGATCTGTTAAATGCAGCAAGGTTTTAAAGGCAGGAACTGTATGAACCTGCTGGGTTTCCCCATGGAGAGCAGATTTCTGGTGGGTAGAGAAAACTCTGAGTACAAAGGGTTTAAAGATGGCTTTCGAAGCTAAAACAGCAAATAATGTTAAATGAAAGGCTGGAAGAAGCAGCACTTGCAATTAACACTAAAATATGAGGAACAACCTCCCGAAATGTCCATCATGATCTCCATCCTCAGGAGAAACTGGACACAAAGAGGAAATATCAGTGGGCTGGGCTAAAGCCATGGCAAGACCATGCAGGCAGACCAGGAAGTCCTGCACTGGCCACAGCAGCACAGGGAAACAGGAGGACGTTGTGCTCCTGGAAATGTTTTGACGTGGTAAGAATGAGGCAGAATGTGTGCAAGCAGCCAAATTGATTTACAGACAACCCCCCCTCGATCATATATCATGTCTAGTTTTACTTTCAGGAAACAAATGAATTAGCAAATGTAATTCTCAGCAAGGCTTGAGAAAAGCAATTTTTAAAGCCTGCGCACTCAAGCATGCTTTGAGTCTCCTGTGAGGGCTCAAAGCATCTACAGCAGCAATCTCATAGAGTTGTCCAAACACAATTATGCATAAATTTGCATTTCAGATGCTGAATACTAAAGTGCATCAGAAATTATTCAAGTTACTTTTTAATTTTTTTTTCCCAAACACTGGGAGTAATTTTCATTTAAAGACACCCTTGAAGGGAATCCTAATCAGCCTGCAGCCATTCCCTCAAGATGAGCACACCACAGGCACAAACTGTTTCCTCAGTTCAGGTTATTTTCACTTGATACCCAGCTTGCAGATCAAAATTTGGTCTTTGTTATTTTACAATATATATTATCCTCATTTTGGAGGCTCATCCTTCACCCAAATTGCAAACCACAGGATCTGCTTGCAGAAAACGAGGCTGGTACAACATTAACATGCAAGTGCTTCAACCCAGCCTCTGGTTCCACCCAAGCCAGCCAGAACAAAGGGCTTTGAAATGCAACATGCCAGTTATTTCTGATGGCTACCAGTCTATTGCTATTTCTCTTCCTCCTAATGGGATGTCTCCTATTTTTGGACCAAACAATCACTTTCCGCTAGGATGAATTATTCAAAAATTCAAATTAGGCGTGACATTTCTAAATCGCCTTCTTTTGGCAGATCCTTCAGTCAGTATAAAAACAATAACCCTTGTTTTCTCTGGGCTTTATTTATTCTCTCCTGAGCTCTGGGGGGCCTGGCTGGTAAATTCTCCTCCTCTGAGTGCTGTCAGTGCAGGCCCCCAGCCCCAGAGATGGACGAGCCTTAACAGCTCTTTAATCGTCAGGAAGGACAATTAAAGCAGGATTTCTTCAGTGAAAGGCCCAGAAATCAAGTCAGGGCAGCATCAGGAAGAGCCATCAGCCCCCTCTGGCTGTTCTGTGGTCCCCAGGCTGTGGGAGGGGATGTGAGGGATGCTGAGCAGGGTTTGGGTCATGCCCAATGTCTCATTCAGCTCTGCAAGGACCCACATGTGACAGACACAAGAACTGGGCTCAAACTGGGCCAGGGGAGAGCTGGTTTGGATATCAGGAAAGCTTTTTTCAGGCTTCAGTGGGTTGTGAAGCACTGGGACAGGCTGCCCAGAGCAATCACCAACCACAGGCTGACAGAATATTCCAGGCTGGAAGGGGCCTTCAAGGATCATCAAGTCCAGCTCTTAAGTAAATGGCCTGTCCAGGGACTGAACCCACAGCCTTGGTGGTGGCAGCAACAACTGAGCCAGAGTACCCTGGAAATGCCCAAAAAAACCATGGATGTGACACCTGAGGCCATGGTCCAGCAGTGACCATGGTGGTGCTGCTGGGACTTGGTGACCTCAAAGGTCTTCTCCAGCCTCAAGGGCTCCATGGTTCTTTGACTTGCCCAGTGCTGACCTCTCAGACCCTTCAGACGTGTCTGTGCAGCAAACAGCAGCTGAAGAAATGCCAAATGCTGCTGCTGCTCTGCTGCTCTGCTGCTCTCCTGCAGCCCCAGCCCAGGATGGCTCTGAATCCCAGCTCAGGGTCTGAGGCTGCTGCAGCCCTTGGAGGAGCCTTTTCTGCAGATCCCATCTCCTTCCCTGCCGTGATTTGTGGCAGGGTTTGGGGAGATGTTTTCTGTGTTACAGAATTTTCTGTGTTACAGAATTTTCTGTGTTACAGAATCTGTGTTCCAGATTCCTGTGGTTAATTTTGTTTGTGGTTTATTTGCACACCCTGCATCCCCTCATTCCCCTACCAGTATTAAACAGCACATTCTTCCCCACATTAAATCTAATTGCCACACGTTGTCCGAGTCACAATTATATCTTGTTTGGGGCTCTGGGATTGAAACATTAAATCACTTCTGTTTACCTGTCTCAGGAAACGGAATTTTCAATTCCACTGCCTTATGCCAGAAAATAAGAGAAATCTGTTTATGATAATTGACTACATAAATAAAATGGGCTGTACACACTGACCCACCACAAGTGGATATCTCTCCTGCAAATGCAGTGCAGACACATCTGCAGCTGCTGGCTCCAGCGTGCAGCTGGGATTTGGGAGCAGCTTGGTGCCCAAATCCTGAGCCAAGCCTGCCCCTCCTCGTGCAGGGTAGGCAGCTGAAGGTTTCTTTTCCACGCTGCCCCTGGGAGAGGTTTGAGGTGTCACTCCATCTCAGGGCAGGCTCTCCTTGCTCACCCTCAGCTCTTCCTATGAAAAGGCAGGGTCAAAGCCCATGGTCCCCACGCTGTGCACACCAGCTTGGGAGCTGAAACAGGGTGACAGCCTGGCATTCTGGAATTGATGGGGCAGGGAATTCCCACTGACTGATGGCCAGGAGATCCCCCAGGGCCTGCTATGGCACGAGGGTGAGGCAGGGCAGGCAGCAGGGCAGTGTTGAGGCTTTGTTCTGCCAGCTCCAGGCTGCATTCCTGTGCTGCCCTTGGGTCTTGTCAAGGGATGGACAGCACCTGGTTGTGAGGAAGGGTCCTTGGGGTGACAAGGTGGTGCTGTTAGAGAGCACCAGGGCTGGCCAGGCAGCCCCTCATTCCTGGCAGAGCAGCCTGATCTGTGCTGGTTCAT